AATCACTGATGTTCCACTGTAACGGTGGTAGACTCATCAGAACATAGTGGGCGAGCTGACCAATCAGAGCACAGTGGGCTCATAGGGAGGGGGGGGGCAGGAGCTCCAACAAGTCGTGTAGGACAGAGAGTGAATACACATACTATACTGTACAGAGATGCTGTATGAGAAACCAAAGTGAGTTTGGAACATTAAACAATGTAAATCTATTCTAGTAGACCTCAACAATGGAATTATGATCAGTAGAAATGGCCATGTCATGGGACCTTTAAAAGGTTACTCATAATTAAAAACAAAAGGGGCAAGGATCACTTATTTTCCAAAATGTCATTTAATATTTATTGGAGAGAGCAGTGAAGTAATTTATGTGACATGTTAATAGAGTATCCATGGCTAAATACAAATAACATCTGTGAGATGTTGAAAATGTCCTTTCATTTGAGTGTGGGGTGACGTGAATACAAGCTTTTACCACATTCTTGATCCATTTACTAAATTACAACATGTGTTTATGAAGACAGCCAGCAGGATGAAAAGTGAAGTGCCTGTAGAGGAAAAAGAACATAGAGACCAGATCAAATGGCGATGAGAGAGAAATAAGAGGACGATGAAAGAGAAACAACCTTCAACAAGATTAGATGTAGCTAGCTTAGCTAGAGTGTGTATCCTCTCAGATTTCTCCTCCCTAAGTTTTAACATTTTATGACTTCATTGTCAACATAAAAATGAAACACCTATTTCTACCAGAATTTCAATTCCGGTATTGTATTGAAGGCTTTGAAATAGCATTTTTGCACACACAAAAAATACACAATGTTTGAAAAGGGAACTGAAAACATGAAATATCAGTATTTTTTAATTCCTTTCTACATCTCTGAAAATTATTTAAATACTTTTCAATCATAGTTATCATTGCATCACATGTGTTTTACCTTTTAGGTGTCCATTATTGGAGGAATTAATACCTGTCAGGAGATACAAGAAAATCAGAATACAAAATAAAAACGTATACAGTAGTGACAAAAAACTAAATCAACAACTTAAAACGTACATTGTAGGGAAAGTCAGGGTTCTTAGTCTCTTTATTTGAAAGAAGTGGAACAACAATGCTACATTTGGCTTTGATTAAGTCCTCCAGCACCAAAACCTGTATTTACTTATTCTAACTTCACTGGGATGTGATTTTCTAAATTAAAAGTGTTCTAATATTTAAAAAAATTCAAAACACCTCAGCATGTATAGGCAACATGGCGTACTATACCTTTAAGGTGGAACTCGGCAGTAAGGACCCCCCCACTCGGTTCTGCCTCTGCTAACAAACTTCTGGACGAGCAGGGGGCCTTTAGGAAAGTCACGAGCAGGAAAATGAAGTTTAAATTGTCAAATTAATCTAAGAATACTTAGAAATAAATATTCAAATAAAAGTATACATTATGCATTCAAATATTCACTATGATATGATTCATCATGTATGTCAATTCTTTTTTAAGCTGTTTCAAATAAAAAGAGGAATGTTGTAATGGATTAAGCAAAAGTGTCTGCAAAATGAATGCTTATAAATGTAAATGTAATCAAAAGAAAATGTTTCTCTCTGAAATGTATGAACAGGAAAGGAATAGATAAAGACTTCCCAGTGGTTTAAGGTTTGATATTATCTAAAAGGTGTTGTACTCACTGGCTGGCAGACGAGCCTCTCTCCATCACAGACCTGGACCTCGCAGTGCAGCCAGACGGTGGAAACCTTCTCCAGCCGTTGGAAGCGGAAAGAGTTGAACTTGAACGTGGAGCGGCTGTCTTTGGCGTTCTCAAAAATAGTCACAGTGTTGTCGGAGGAACAGCTGTTGGAAAATAAACAACATTTTACCTACAGTACTGCTGAACCTGAATGGAGAAGAGATTCCTTTACATTCAACTACACTTTAAAACATCATATAAACTCATCAGAGGTATTAGTACATCAAAAACCATTGACTGACCTAGGACAAATGAGTTTATTTAAGTTCACTTGTATTTATAAGGGAGAAGGGGACTTGAACATTGTGTCACACTTTTGAAAATTGACAAAAAAGGAAAAACAGAAATACCAATATTAAAGATTAATATAATAATCAGCCCTCACTGGGGTAAATATTCTAACTACTTAAGACCTGATTCACTGCACTGAAAAAACTGAAATGTTGACTTTAATTAAATGCATTATCAACACATTTCACACAACTATATTAGGTTAGCAATAATATTAAGTTGAACCTAATACTTTTTTATTTAAACGTAATATTATTGCTTTCAACTAACATTATACAGTTATGTGAAATCTGGTGACATAATACATTTAATTATAGTCAACGTTTCAGTTTTTTCAGTGTACAACGTTTGTAACAGTCAGGAATATGGCAATTATTAACAACAACGTTGATTTGGATGAGTTAAATCAAACACTGCAATGCTCTATAACAGTGGTTCTCAACTGGTCGGGCCTCGGGACCCACTTTTTCCTTTGTCAATAAATCGCGACCCGACATTTTGAACCACTCAAATCTATTCAACAAGAAATCGTGCTGTAAATATATACGCTTTTCAGCATACAATATTAATTAAAGTGAAGTACAGGGCATATATCCCTTCACAGAACTAAAGTATGCTTTAAAAAAGGTTTAATGAGAAAAGCTGAACTGTATAACATAAAAAGGCACACATGCTGAAAACCAAACCCCAGTAGGGGGTCTGGGGGATTGTCCCCCAGAGATTTTTAGAAATACTAACATATAAACTACACATTCTGGTACACTCTGAGAAGAAAAATAAATAAATCTATTACTACCCGACATTTTAATAATATTTTATGCCATTGTTTGTTTTTCACTTTGTTCTGAAGCTGAACTTGTCTGTGTGAATTGTGGGTAGGGTAGATAGCCCCCATTGTTCTGTGACCTGTCAATCATCAAACCGGGGGTCATATTTCATTATGTGTTCATTTTTATCTGAAGTTGTACCCATGGATGTATAAAGAGTAGTTCTACCGCAAAGTTATTCTCCGTGGGGACTTCCGGCAACAATCTTGATTCTGATTGGCCAGAAGACTCGAAAAAACATCAGCAAAGATATTTTATTGAGAAGATGATCACTACTTGACAGAAGTTTTCAAAACCGTTTATGGTCTCCGGTACTTCCAGTCCAACGCCTACTGCATGCACAGCGTTAGAAAATCGGGCCTTCAAAATAAAAAGATCTTTTTTTTTTTTTGGTTGCGATTCCACTTGGCCTAGTTTTGGCCCGGGGCTACTTTTTCACCTTTTTTCTGGCCCGACTATATCGTGGTTCTATCGAGGCCAACAAACAGGGCTGAATCGGGCTGAGTTTGCTTAAAGGTGGGGTAGGTAAGAATGGAGAAACCAGCTCGAGTGCGCTAGAATTTGAAAATACACAACCGGAAAAAATATGCCACTTCCTTACAGAGCCCCTCCTCCAACACACACGAACGCGCACATGACCAATGAGGGCACGAGATAAGTTTGTGCACAGATGGAAGGCTGAAAGGCAGGTAGGCCATACAATTATTTTAGCCGGGCCGGCTAAAATAATTGGTCGTGCTTTTTACAGTACTACGGCTTCCACAGATGACATTTTTGTATGGATTTTTTGTCAAAGCACTTAAGATATTCATTGCTATCGGGATGTTAAGAGCATTCCATGGAATATAACAAAAAGTGTATCTCGAGCCGGTTTCTCAAACTTACCTACCCCACCTTTAACAAGCAAATAAGAAAATAAAAAAAGATTAAAAGTCTGATATAAAAGTTTGCGTTATTTTAAGCTCTAATGGCCATACTCCCAATCATACAGATGATTTAATTTTTTCTTTAGGAGCTGAAGTTAAACTTCCAACATTTGAAACAAAATTGGGATGTAAAGAAAAGTCCTTAGTGAGGCGCAAGGGTACCTGCTGATGATGAGACTCCACCTCTTCTTGTCTGTTGAGTATGGACTCGGCGTGGCCCAGCAGTTGTTTATCACAACTTTGAATCTGAGAGGTTCAGCAAATGATAATATAAAGTATCCACTCTGTATGGAACATAAACTAGATGTCAGGAAAATGTTGAAATGTGTTATATACCTGTTACTTAGTCCTTTGGCCTCGATGCCAATGAAGACTTCAGAGCCGATCTCAGACGTTTCGATCACATAGGGAGCATCTTTGGCATACAGGAACTTTGAATTCTACAATATATATATTTTTATTTTATATACTGTATGTTTTATTTTT